AAGCCTTGATTTCAATTGATCAAAGGACTATATATATTTGACAACAAAAATATAAATAATTCTCAACATCGCTGTTAATAAAAGACTAATTAAATAAGAGACAATACAGCAATTCCAAATCAAAAAGTGGTTAGTAATAGCAACCAAATATTTTAAAGAGCTAAGTAAATTCAAGCATTAACTAAGCAAGCATTAACAAGGTTGATTAAGAAATAATTTACCTGACCAAAGGAACCGCGTCCGATTAGGCTATTTATTGTGTAACGACCCATCCATATCTCACCAGGGCGAACAATATAATCATAATTGTCATCAGTGTGCCTTTTATCCACTATGTGCTGCTGCTGCTGAACCTGTGGTTGAAATTGGTGGTGAGGGAGCAAGTGCTGATGCTGGCGTTGGCGTTCTTCCAACTGCTGTTGCTGCTGTGGCACTGGCACCTGCTGTGATTGCCGTTGGAGGCTAACCAATTGTTTATAGTGATGATGCTGATGCTGCTCCTGATTCTGTTTGGAGGCTGCTGCTGCAGCAGCGGCCGCGGCAGCAGCAGCTGATGCAGCAGCAACAAGCATTGGCTGGTTTACGTAGGCTGCCATCGAGACCCCCGCAGCACCCACAGCAGCCGCAGCTATGGCGGTGTTGTTCAGAGCAATCCCTCCACTAGCAGCAGTACAAGTAGAAGTAGAACCAGAACCAGTAGAGCTAGCATTTAGGCAAGAGACATTCGAGGAAACCATAGGAACCAAAAGATGAGCTCCGCTGATCGGTTTCTGGGAAAGAGAAACGCCGACGGCAGGAGAGATTGACGAGTATGATTTATGGACAGATATCGGTGCCGTTTGAAGACTTGGATAATGTTGGAGCAGGTGCTGCTGTTGGTGAGGATGATGCTGGAGGTGGTGGATATAATGAGGAGCGGTGAGGTGTATTTGGTTGTGTCCTTGGGAAAGGCTTGTCAGCTTAAGAGAAGATAAATCAGTTTCAGCAGTCGTAGACGGGACTAAGTGAGGATCACCAATGAGTGCAGCTTGAGCGGCACTAACCAGTTGGCTGCCAGAAGCCAGAAGTTGCTGGGCTGGGTGCTGTTGCAGTTGACTTGGGAACAAGTGCTGCTGCTGCTGGTGATTATGATTATGTGTAGAAAGCCGTCTAGCAAGAGCGGCTGCTATGCCTGCTGACGTTGAAATAGATACAGGAAGAGGACTGACGGAGCCGGATATCATAGAAATGGGCGAACGTGAGAACCCCAGCCTTGACTTGAAATTAGACCCTAAGGCACCATCGAACGGATCAGCAAGGCCATCGGCCGGTCGAGCAGATGACTCTGACATCACAGAAAGACCAGCTGGAGAATATTTAGATCAGTTGAGAAATAGTTAAAATAAAACATAGTAGATTACAAGAATGCATTACTATCCACTCGAGAAACGAAAGCATCTAGTAATATATCAAAAGCGTAGTTTTATATATGAAAAGTCTGCCGAGGCAGCTCGTAGCAACACAATGAGTTATGAAACTTCTTCCTGATGATTATTTTGCCTTTGGATGCTGCAACCGTTGTATTGTTAGCTGTTAGGCCAAACCTAATAAAGAAAAGATGCGATTCGGATTTTGCCTACCAAGATATGCCGTATTAGAAAGCTGACGAATGAAAGGTTTTTAAATGATAAAAACAAAGAAAAAGAAAGCCAGTTTAACAAGAATTTCTCGAAACAAAGCCAAACTATGGGTCATCGAGTGAAAAATGATTGCATTAACAATGCAATCTCGAAATCAGCCAATCCTTTAATAATAGTAGTAGTATTAATAGTCGGCGAAGCCGAAACCGCAGTACACTCTGGATGTGAATACCTTTTCGGAAACAAGGCTATATGAAATTCAATGGAAACTTATTGTCTACTGATATAATTGTGTGATATTTCAACTACCAGTCATTCATCACATTAAACGAAATAGGGTATACACATATCAAGCAGAGGAAGGATTGCTTTTACATAATAGATACTGATTTGTGCATAAAAGGCCTCGCCACATCGTAATATAACTCCTTTAAAATCGTGATGAACTTTAAACTGTCATTCAGTAAGACAAAGATCATTATATACGAACAAAACAATTCACAATTCGCTTAGAACTATCCTAGGTAAATGAAAAACGGTGTGATTTGGTTGGCAACTTGAAGCTTACCTGGCATAAGTGAAGATGAGTGGAAATGATAGATGAAAAGAAAATGAATATGGTAATAACCGTTTATCTTACATAAATGAAATAAAAGTTTGACCAGAAATGTTGGCACAAATGGAT